TCTATATGTTTTATAAGTAATTTTCGTGTGCATTTGCATATATATATATATATATATATATAAAGACACAAAATTATGTAAAAAAACATATACAAATAAAATAAAGATATTACTATTCTATTTGTTTTGTGGACCAAATCAATAATTTTACACGTACTTTTGTATGAGAATTGACTTTAGAAGGCTTGTGTTGCAAACTTTTTATCTGTTGGAAGTAAAATTTATAGTGGTAAAGGGACATATAAGGCTGACGCTTAATTAGAAACCACAAAATTGATGACATATACAAAAGTTTCTGCTATTAATAAAAAGGGTTATGGGAAGGACCTGGAATAGATGGCCAATCTGCAAATCCCGTATCACTAACACAAAAGCTTCGACAATATAATACACCGCGTACTTGACATAATAGTTGTTCATTTAATTTCTCCATTATCTTGTGGTGAATATAGGGAAGGAAGCTGACATCATCCACAATAGCTCAGACCATCATTTTTGATGAGGGCCTATGTTTCCAAAATTTTGGGTCCTGAATACATAAATGCAGAACGCATATGATGCCCAAGCTAAAAGATTAAAAAAAGATATATAAAAAAACATGGAAGGACATTGGAACAATGTAAAACATTAGAGCCTATGCAAATCCTCAATCACACCAAGAAAATCCTATGTTTAAAAAAAATGGTTGTTTCGGCTTTCATTCTCCCAATGAATTTTAAATTTTGTTATGAATAAATCTTATATAGTTATTTATGTTAATACTAATATTAAGTCAACTGTTGGAACATGTTGCCAGCTTTATGATTGTTGCCGAAAGCATTACCACAGGAAGATTTATATATGTGCTTTTCAAAGTGAATGTTTAAATTCATCTATGAAATTTGTTGGAAAAGGACGGACTGATATGCCACTTTAATGAAAACAGCATGTCATAAAAAATAGTCACGTTATTTAGAGTATAGCATAGATTTAAAATGTCATAATTCAATTCTTGAGAAATTTCTAATGATTTTGTGTAGCAGTGATGAAAGACTAAATGACAAACTGTTCAAACACTTGCATTCGTTAAAAGGATACGAAAGGCTTTCTTTTCGATGTATGATATACATACATCATTAATAAATGAGACAAAAAAAGCATCAGAACAAACAGAGTTGAAGATGGAAAAATGTATAATGATTGTTGATTAATAAAGGCCCACTAAGAGAATCATCCGAATGAATATTGTCTTTTGACAGCAAAGATCTTGATTTCTAGTTAGCTCCATATGTTAATGCTCATCCAATCTCTAGTTTTTTAGATTTCACTATCAGAATCTATCTTATTGACACTTAAATATCTGGCCATTACATTTTCTTTGGTGTTTCTCATGCCATCTATAATAAAGCATTATGTCGATCCTAAATTATGAGTTATGAAGAGCAACAAAAAGCTACTTAGATGATGTATCATTACTTAGCTCACTTGCCAAAATCAAAAAGTCCCAAGATAAATATGCATATGCATGAATTGAAATCTTTAAGAGAAATTGTAAATTATTGAATCGGGCCAAATAAATCTAACAATACTACAAAATTTTCAAATAATAGAGAATTCATTCGACCAAAGGTTAAAACTTCCATAGTGACAAACCATATCCCTACCTTCATGGTGAAACTTCATATATGGAGATATATTATAGATACATCCTTTCAAAATAGTCCACATGGAACCTTCTGTTTGATTTTGCTTAACTTCACTCATTGAAATAAGCATTATATTTGACTGCCCTTTCAATCTTGAAACATATAATTTATGGTGAAACCTAGAAGAAAGATGAAGTTGGCTTTTCAATTTCAAAGGAGTGTGTATGATAAATGCAAAAAAAGTCTTATGAAGGAACTATTTGAAGTCATTAGGAGTTGACTTATCTGTCTTGATCCACATATAGACCCATACCTATTTATCAGGATCCCAAGAACATTATATAATCTTTCCAGAGAATGAATAAGAAGGATCTGAAACATCTGCAAGTAATTTAGGATATTAAAAAATCAAAGTCAAATGGTAATGATATCAAATGAAACAAAAAAATGAAATAAATACGATTCACAACAGTTTTAAATTTAACTGTATTCCCCTCCATCAGTAACTAGTTTAGAGTGGATCAAATTGGTAGCCTTTATTGTTTGAAAATATAGAGAGTACCATTAATTAGGGAAAGATCCTTGTAGCCCATTTGGGCCCATCCAACCACATAGCCAACACAAAAATTGAAGAGAGTACAATTCCATTATAAAAAGCATACTAGTCCAGCAATCCCTAATGGTAGCAAAAAATGACCCACCATTGTCAAAATGAGAGAGACGAAAACATATTTACCAAAAAAATATAAGTAGAGTTACCCAAAGTGTTGTCCTGATTGAACTTGATTATAGGAAACTTAAACTTGATGATTATAAGATTGGCCATTACAAACATCTTTTTTTGCAACAAATGCAAGTACGAGCAAGCAACCCAAAAATCAACGTGCATAGTCGCACACACTAAATTTAAATAAAGAATTCTATCTAAGAAAACATAATGTGTAGCATTCAACTAAAAATAAGGTTGAAAGTAAAAGCTGATTTATCAAATATATCCCCTCAACCACCAAAACAAATGCAAGACCCCTAAAGTTAGCTCAACACTCAAACAACATTATAAACAAAGCTTAAAAAAAAAAACACTGACCAATCAACTTATCTCTTAATCAAAGTCACATTCAAAGTACTTTTAAGGTAATTACATATAACTTACTTTAACAATAACACGAAGAATTCTAAGCAAAAAGTGCTTGCATGTTCACAATTCTTCATCCAAAAAAAGAAAAACCCAAAAAATTTTAAAAAATCAAACATAAAAAACATAGCTTAACAAAAAAATAGCATGCATAAAAAAAATCCAAAGACAAAAATAACCTTAAAAATCACAAAAACAACAAAATACCCATAACTTTCAACTTAATCTTTAACAACACATGTATACAAAAACACTAATTAAACAAAAAACAGAAATCAATCCATAAAAAAAAACCCAATCCAATTACCATCCATACAATATGCAACAAATATTTTAGATAAACATTCTAAAAATAAATAAAAAAAGCAACATGCAAATTTCACAACAAGCATTTTAAACAAATTAAAGACTAAAAAAAACATAACACCGAAAAAAAATTTCTTCAATAACATAATTGTCCCAGAAATTTGAAGTTTGTGACACAAATTCATCCCAAGAAGACAAAAAAAAATTCAATTACCACAAAATAATCCTAGAATAAACAAGAAAAAACAAAACTCACATTCAATTAAAGAACAAAAAACCCAAAAAAAAAATGACCTAAAAACGCACAAAAAAAAATCAAAGGCAAAAGAAAATAAGCAAAATACATACCAACACTCTGAGTTTCGTACCACCATTGCCCTCTTCAAAACTATATAAAATAGAGCCCAAATGAATACATTGCTAAAAGAAACACACCTGTCAAGAGATACACTATAAGGAAAAAAAAAAGCTAAATGTCATCACCAGGATCTTCAAGAGATCGTTTTTATATAGATTAGTATAGATTTAAGGTTGAAATTTGAAGAGGGGATTTAATTGAAAATTATCTTTAGAGAAAAAGGTGGTTGGAGACGAAGTGCAGTTTAGCATAGCTCGATAAAAGTACACCATAGTATTCCACAACCCAAAACTTAAAGTAACGAAAAACAACAATTATTGCTTTTCAAATGCATGTGATGATTGAGAAGAAGTTTAATTTAAGCTTTCTTTTTTAAAGATAATTTTTAGTACGAGATAATCATTTCAAAAATTATGATGATTTAAACATGATAATTAAATCATTGTGTTTGATAAACATTTAATGATTTTATGCGAAAATATTCTTAGATCACTGTGAGTGATCAAATCATTATTTTAAAAAATAATCTAATTCTCATATAAAATATGAAAAGCTTTTATCATTAAAGTAAATTGATATATAAAATTAATAATAAATAATTTTACTAATTTATCATATGAATTAAAAATTTATTGCGTATTAAATTGTAAGTATTTTATATTGTAAATTTTTATATTTTTAAATTATATTCATTTATAACAACTTCAAAATAATTTATGTATTTTTATTTTTTAAAATATTTTATATAATATAATATTTTATTTTTCTTTTATTATGAATTTAATAAGTTTATTTTATTTTCTGATTCAAAATTTTTTTTACATAATTTATATTATAAAATAAATTTATCTATAAAAAATATATTATTAATTTAACAATTTAATCATATTTTATTATAAAATAAATATTACTAATATTTTACAAATTATTATCTTTAAACAATCTTAAAATTATTAATTTATATAACTATTATAATATAAATGATTATTTTTATATTTTTAAATAAAATAATGTTTGATTTTTAATAATATCAAATACAATGACTTTTAATTTTTAAAAATTAATAATTATTAATCAAATAAAATAATTTCAAATAAAAAGTATTAAGATAATTATTAACGTAATAAAATAATTTCAAATAATAAATGTTAAAATTATCTTAATAATAAGATCGATAATTATATTATTATAATATTCTTAAGAAAAATACTATAGGCTGCCTAATGAAAATCCTTTGGCTAAAAAATATCAATCGACAATTATATGGTACTGTTTACTTTCCAACATAAAATAAAATGAAATTAGGTTGGAAAAACTAAAAAAAGAAAAAGGAAAAGTCCGAAACTTATTTGCTGTCTGTCTGCCCTTTGGACCCAGTTGATGCGATTCTAGAACATCATTGTTAGAAAAACGTATGACAGAGGCCGTCAAACCACTGGATTAATTCTCGTTTGATTATGGAAAAGACCCAAAGTAAAAAAAATAAAGTTTTATTTTATTTTATTTTTTGGGTTGCTACTTTGAGAAAAAAACATGTATTGGAATTGGCCTAAATCTAGTTGTATCTATATTAATCTGGAATGCCATTCTTCTCATCTATAGTCGCCCTTACCTTTCTTTGTCCGCACGACAGCCGAACTCTCCCTTTCATTGAAACTTCTTGGCAAATACCAAGTAATAATAATGCTTTAAAATCAGCACCCAACCATACATTTTTTCTTCCCTAATCTGAACCAAAAAAACTGAAGAACTTATGGAATCAGGAGGAGAAAAAAAAAGGATGGTGGTTGTTGGAGGTGGAATTGCTGGCTCCCTCCTTGCCAAGTCTATCCAATTCAATGCAGATGTCACCCTTATCGACCCGTAAGCTTTTTCTTTTTTTTTTTTTTCTCTTTCTCAAAATCATAACTTGTTTTTGTTTCTTCAATTCAAATTCATTTCCTGTGAAAAACTTTTGAGACATAATTTTATTGCAGCTCCCTCAGATTTCTGGGTTTATTGGAAACCTTTTTCCATGTGTAAATAATATAGAATTGAAATAGTATATGTAGGATTAACAGTTGTTTTGGGTAACTTCAGCTGTAATTGGGTATGTAATTTTTAATGCTGACAACTTATTGAACTGGATTTGGTAATTCTGACTGTCAATTTTTACAAAAATACATTAAAGCGACTGCCTAAGAGACTAGAGAGTGATTAATGGAAGGGTTTGTTTTCATCTCAGCAAGGACTATCTTGAGATCACATGGGCAAGCTTGAGGAACATGGTGGAGCCATCGTTTGCGGAGAGATCAGTGATAAACCATAGAGATTACCTTACTAATGGACGTATCGTTACTTCTGCTGTCATAGATATCACCGACACTGAAGTATTGACCTCAGAAGGCCGCCGTATTGCTTATGATTATCTTGTTATTGCCACTGGACATAGGGATCCTGTTCCCAAAACTAAGACAGAGAGACTTAATCAATACCAAGCAGGTAAAAACTACATCAAAACTAGAGCAACTTTATGTCTTCCCATTTTTACTATTAGATGCTTTCACTAAGTTTTAAGATGTCGAGGCAATGAACATATTGCAAATGTTTTGTGAAATTAAAGTGTGTAACTTATGAGTATATTTCTAACTGTAGAATTCTTGACTGAGGACTCCACGTAGGTTTAATGTAATTCGGCATGACGCTTCAGCTTTCAAATATTACACAATATTCAACATTCCTAGGTATAAGGCCCTGATATGTCTTAAGTTACACCTAATTCTGCCTTAATTTTGCCTAAGGGTGCATTAATTATACAGTCCAATATGTTATGTGTTATGCTATAATAAATTAAGGAACAACCTCATGAACAGAATTTTGATGTTATTTTTTTTTGTCAATAATATAGAACAAATTTGTATTATATTCTACTCAAGTTATTTTTATTTTCTATATGCTGACAGAGAATCAAAAGATACAATCTGCCTATTCTATTGTGATAGTTGGAGGAGGTCCGACTGGTGTTGAACTTGCTGGAGAAATTGCCACTGATTTCCCAGAGAAGAAGGTTACTCTGGTTCATAAGGGACCAAGGTTGCTGGAATTCATTGGAGCAAAGGCTGCTGATAAGGCTTTACGTTGGCTGAGATCAAGGAAAGTTGAAGTAAAATTGGAGCAAGCAGTTGACTTGAATTCTGCTTCAGATGGAAGCCAAGTATATAAAACCTCAACTGGAGAAAGTATCAAAGCGGATTGCCATTTCCTTTGTGCAGGAAAGCCACTGGCGTCAGCATGGCTTAATGAGACTATATTGAAGACTAACTTGGATAAAAGTGGAAGGTTGATGGTTGATGAGTACTTGAGAGTCAAGGGTCGCAGTAACATATTTGCAATTGGAGATATAACTGATATTCCAGTAAGTCCTATCCCAAAATTTACTCATAATTAATTTATTGAATTTTGTGTGGGTCAGCATTTTATCCTTCCTGAAAAGCAAGCTTCATTACTGTTGGTAACATAGTCACAAGGATGATTTTATTTTTGGTTAATATATCTATTACGGGAGAAAACTGGCTATATTTAAGTTGACACATAAGAAATAAGGTTAATTAATTCTTCGCAGCTGAAGTTCCATAATCATCAATGCAATCAAAGTTTCAAGATGATTTTCTTCCTGCTACGCCTTTGACAGTCTCTGAGGTTTGTTTGGGGAAATTTTCATATATGTATGATTTACCACTTATTAGGCCATGTATTCATTTAACTCTATATACTTTAGTCGGCACTTCTATCTTGTTCTCTTCCGGCATGGCTGCTCCTAACTATTCAGTTTTATCTGGCTGGGAAAGGATAATGAAATCCAGTTTCCCGCTAGTTTGACAGATTTATGTGCATTTTTACTTGTCTTTATGCTCTAGTGTATTGCTCTATTCCCCAATATCAGCACTCTTCCAAAGAAGATTTGCAAATATATGTCAAATATATACTCAATTAGTCATGTGTTGATGCTGTATGAATAAGTGTGATTGTTGAAATAGAAAATATGTTAAATATGTGGAATATTTAAGTAAGCATAGGTTTAATCCTAAGGCTTAATAATGCTAGTTGCATTCACATATAGGCTATCTTTTAATGCCACCTTGCTAATGCATAGTTTTATGTATTCAATGTCTCTGTACATCATTTACTTGTTTTTAGCAAGAGAATCAAAATGGAGATTTGTGCCATTGAGAATATCTTTGACTTCATGAAGCAATTCTAACATTTTAGATAATGCAATATTTCAGGAACTCAAACAAGGTTATATAGCTCATAAACATGCCATGGTGGTTGCTAGAAACTTGAAGCTGTTGCTGGCTGGAGGAAAAGAAAGCAAAATGTCCAAATATGAGCCTGGTTCAGCAATTGCCTTGGTTTCGCTCGGAAGGAAAGATGCTGTCGCCCAATTTCCTTTTACAACCATCAGTGGATGCGTTCCTGGCTTGGTCAAATCCAGAGACTTGTTTGTAGGCAGAACAAGAAAGCAGATGGGCTTACAACCTTAACCTGTGGAGGCTTAAGGACGTCTGAAAGAAGTCTATTTGACATTGTATTTTCCTTTTTCCCCACTATTCGTTTTGGTACGAGATGCATACTATCTTACATTGTTTTATCTTTTGCACCCCCTCCTTTTAGCTGTTGATTGTATGTTGTCGATTGTCGATTGTTGCTCATACGATTGTTGATGGGGGATATATCTTTATTAATGCGCTACCAAAATAAAAATTGCGTCATTGTCTTTAGACGTTCTTCTTTGAAAGGAAAGATCTGATGGTAGTTACAGACAGAAAAGCTATAGATAGCTGCATACTAAAAAGGTGTCATGAAATCGAATCTTCCTCTTTGGTAAGACCCAATACTTTTAAGGATTTTGGAATGACCACCACCCGTCCGTTACCATCAATCAATGCCCCATCCAAAATAAATCAAATCATCTCCTTTATTTACCCATAATTATCCATAATCGCCTTATATTTCTGCTCTACTCTCCAGGAAAAATAAATTCAAATTTTACACTGTAAAAGAAATCGCTATTCCTCTTTAAAAACTTGCAACAAAATCTACAGCTGCAACCCAAATACAGGAACCAGAAACCATAACGGTAGATAAACAGGTTTTCCAAGTTCAACTATTCTGAGAAAAAAAATGACATCATCATCTTTTAGAATTAGATAAGACTGCAATGGCATGTTCCAGACTTTTACCTGAAACGTTTGGAGTGACGTTGCCATGACTGTCATTTGAAACAGCGCCGTCAGAACTGAGTTATGATAGGAAGCTCTCACCGTAATTGCACGCATAGGTGCAATCCATGTCTGGGTTAAGGCTGCTTGCTTCGAACATTCATCCCCAAGTCAATTCGGCAAATGCTGGAAAGCAAGATGAGAAAGGATTCCACTTTCTAGTTGAAAGCACAGCCTACGTCCTTAGTGCAGCAGCATCACTACACCACTCCAGCTTCCAACCTGCTTTTCATTAGTTAAACCTTGGGGCTAAGCAACCACTTTTTGCTATTCCCTGTTTCAAACAGAAGAAGTTTTATAAAGTGGCATCATTAGTTAAGTTTCGATTTGTAATCAAACTATTAAAGTATCTTACAATTGACATATAAGTTCGAATGCAACGCTTTTCTCCATCTTTATTCATCTAGCAAAGACCAGAAGAATACATTGGATCAACAACTTATGCCTAGCCTACCTATGCTGACTAGGTGATTATAAGCTTCACACTCAAGAGTCCACAGCTCTTCCCTTTTATATTTACTGCCTCTTGGTGCCTTATTCTATTGGTAATAATATGTAGTTGTAGATGGTTTGTCGGGTCCTTTATAATGTCTCTATTTTCATGCTTCCAGTGGCTTCTGTGAAAAATTTTTCAAGCACGATTCATATAAGCTTTCATATGGCGCTTCGCATAAATCTTTCTAATGGCAATGATCGTGGCAATGATAATTGATAACCACATCTCACATCCAAAACGGAGGTTCAAGTTTTAATTAAACCTTGACTCCTCCAGCATTATCAATAATCTCTCTATCGCCATTGCAAATTTGCTATTAATACCATTTAAAAAGAAAAAAACAACTAACATTGAAAGTGATTCGCCTAACTATGAAAGAATCAATGTTCTTGTTTCTTTATTACTCACAGATAGGTTTAATCGCTTTCATATAATTTTCTTACAACAGTTTCAGGAGCATACCCAGATGACATTAAATCAAAGAGAGCAACTCTAGCATCATGTAAATACATTCTTTTTTGATATGTGACTTGTCACCAGCAACAAATTCATGAACACAACCACCAATCTCAATTGAACTAAAACCTGGTTTCTTTTGTATCCCAAGTGCTTTCATTCGCCTCCTAACTTTGCTTGCTCCCTCCCATCTTCCAACTGCTGCATATATGTTTGAAAGAAGTACATAATTGGAATCACAACCAGGGTCCAATGCCACAAGGTTACTCACTATCCTTTCAGCTAAGCTAATATCGCCATGATTCCTACATGCAGCTAGCAATGACCCCAATACAACTTGGTTTGGCTTCATGGGCATATTTCTTACTACATCCCATGCTTCTTTCAACTTCCCAGCACGGCTATAAAGATCGACTATGCAACCGAAATGCTCAATCCTAGGGGGTATTCTATAAACTCTTTTCATAATATCAAAATGGCGGAGCCCTTCATCCACTAAACCTGCATGGCTGCAAGCAGTAAGTGCTCCAGTAAAGCTGGCTCCATCCGGCTTAAACCCTTCTTTCTGCATTGAATCAAAATATTTCAAAGCTTCCTCCGCAAGCCCATTAACAGCAAACCCCACGATGATTGAATTCCACGACACCAATGTTCGCTTCTGCATCCTGTCAAAAACTTCACGAGCATATTCTATACGCCCACATCGTGAGTACATATCAATCAATGAATTATTTACTCTAACATTGTCCCTAAAACTTTGTTTCAAAACAAGCCGATGAACCCATAAGCCAATACTAAGAGTTCCCAAATTAGCACAGGCTGTGAGAACAGCTATTATGGACACATAATCAGGCCCAACCCCAAAAATCATCATTTCTCGAAACCAATCCAATGCTTCCTCATAAAAACCCCTCTTAGCAAACCCATTAATCAAGGCAGTCCAAGAAATTACATCTTTTTGAGGCATTTCATCGAACACCTCAACCGCCTTCTCATATTCCCCATTCCTCATATACCCGTAAATCATTGTATTCCATGAAAACGAATTCTTCACATTCATCACATCAAAAACCAGCTTAGCTACTTCCACTTGTTCACATTTCGCGTACATTTCCACCAGCGCGGTGCCCACCATCACATTTTCTTTATCCAACCCCAATTTGCAAACATACCCATGAATCAAAGAACTCAAAACTCCACTTTTTGATGGAAAACCAGCACAACCCGAAAGAAGGGTAACGAAAGTGATGTGATTTGGCTCAACCCCGGAAAGTCTCATGCGCGTAAACTCTGCAGCTGCTTCTGATATTTGGCCAGCACGGCAGTGGCGGGAAATTGAAGAGGTCCATGAGACTACAGGGTCTAAGGTTTTGAGAGAGGCTTGGTGATTTGGTTTAGAAAATATGGATTGGGTTTTGGGATTTGGGTGGGAGATAAGAGGGTCTGGCTGGTTCATAATTGTTGGTGTTAAGCCGGGAAGAAGGCTCATAGTTTCAAATTTCTGTTATCAGAAATTTCATAAATAATTCAATTCTTTACCACAGGTGAAAGCAATTTGTTTAGCAAAAATGGAGTAAATGAGGATGAGAAACAAACTTTGTTTTTTCCTTGATTGAAACATGTGGATATTTTGATGTTATAAGAAGATTCTTTTTACTGTTTAATTGATGCCAAGCGGCAAGTACCACAAACAAGCATACAAGACCGAGTCCTGGGATTGTACAAGCTGCCACGATAGGGAATTTTTTGTTTTATTTTTTACAGCTTTTCCAATCATTTTTGTTTGTTTATGTTTTTGCAACGTACTTAAAATGCCTAGTTCTTTTGGTCCCAAGGTTGCAGAGTTTGTCCTTTTCGCCGCTTGACAGTAAATAAAATTATACGAATTATAATATAATAATTTTTATATTTTATATACATATATGAATGGTAAAATTTAATTTATACGGTTATATACTTGCAATAACAAAGAAAATCAGATGTTTAAGGATGTAATCATAAATGCATGGCATGGCAATCGGGGTTCACCAAATTTATAGTACTTGAATTTTTTTTTTAATTTAATATAAGACTTGAATCAAATTATATTCAGCAATAATTTAAGTCAAAGTTTGAATGTGGAGAGTGATAAATGAAAAATCAGCATCATATTGCAGGCCATGGTCTTGGATGATGTGCACGTTACAACTGATGGTGTTGGGTGTTGGCTACGACAAGGAGCACATGAAACATTGAGGAACCATTGAAAGTTTGTAACAAATTTTGAGCGTGACAAAAGAACAGCAACTTAGGATCCTTTTAATATTTAGGAAAATTATTTTTCTTTGAAACATGGACAAGTTAATAAAGGTATGGGACAGGACTGCTGAAAATATTGTTCTGCACTGGCAAGTTAGGTCACATCAAAATATAAATGCACCTTGGGATGTCAACAAAAAAAGAAACTAATTAAAGCTGCACATGAAAATACATAATCTTCCCTGATTAGTCTGAATGAATGAAATTAGAATATATATATATATATATATATATATATATATTCATGTCTGGCTCCATCGAATAACATACCACTATTAATGCATCGGATCCGTATTTGGCTCAGTTGATAACTTGTGACATATCAAGCACCGGATCTAGTTAAAAACGTAATATAACTTGTTTGCATTGCAAACAAAACAAATGGCAAATTTACTGCCTTGTTTACATGAAGAATGACTTGAAAGGAAATTTTCATGAAGGACCAAGGTAATTGGAAACAAAGACTTGAATGGAAAAAAGCAGTGGGGAAATATGTTAAATAGGAACAAGCTTGGCTCATGCGTTGACAAATGACTTTCCCCATGGTAATGAAAAAATTAGAGATTCATGCTAGGCGGATGAATCCATAGCCATGAATGAATGGTATATTTCTATGGCGATTTCAAGAAGAATATGGTACAGTTTGAATAATTGCAGTTAGCAGATTGCCTAGGGATGGGTGGCTGACCAAAGATCACATTATCCTTTGGTTAGAGAAAATGATGAAACTGAAACTTAACTGTATTAACAGCATGAGGATGACTTTACAGTCTTACAAAGTCAATGATAGAAAGAGAAACCAACAGCACCATGTGAAACAATAATAAGTGATAATGTATTGTATGCTCATTATAGTGAAAGAGCAGAAACTAGATATTTCTTTGTGGAAGTTCTAAAAATTTATATACAAAGGAATAACTGAGCTTTGGGGAGATTTAAAGAGAAATACTTCCATCAGTGAACAAAGGACTTCTATCAGTGGGGCAGAGGGGAGATTTAAAGAAAAAGACCCTAAAAATGATCTACTGCTAATCTGTAGTTAACTTCAGCATTTTTCAAATCTTTTGATTACGAAGTTATGCTCTCTTATAAGAACAGCACAAGTGGCATTTTCTAGAACAAAAGTCTCACCAATGTTGATCAATGTTTGACAATGGACTCTTAATGTCTTGCCTCTGTCAATTATTTCACACCACTGTCTCAACAATATTATGTACATGACATTATTTGATTTGCAATTTGTATCTAAGAATTCAATATCAAAGGAGATTGCATCAGCATTTATAAAAGTAAAACTTTGCAGTACCAATATATTACTTAAACATTAGTCAGCCTTTCAGTATTTCTTGGAAGGGAATTTTTTAGGAGAAAAAAGTTCTTCCCTGAGTCCTGACAGGTAGCATGCCACAGTTATGGTGACAGAAAAGGAATCAAGCATCAATTTAACTCAGCTAAGCCTGAATCATAAACTAGCAGGAACCAGAAAATGAACATGTTTGTTTCTCATTCGACTAGATTAAGGGCCAAGTCTTCTGCAATCAAGAAGTATCTTTGACATGAAATTCACTTTGCTTCAAATGCAATCAATTCTTTACACTGCAATAAAAAAAATAACAGACACACAGCGCAAGGAATAATGAAAGAACTAGTGAAACCGGAATCCCTGTATCTACACTACCATGTAAGCCATGTTCCACGGCTCAACAAAATGAAAGTAAAATTACTTAAAACAACATGCAACAATTCAAAGATGTTTGACATTGTATTCCTTGAGCACTGAAAAATATCGCTGGCAACAAGATGGACCAACTTATTCCTTGCTGTAGGCTTACCTTCCATCATCGACCATCAGCAGATGTGAAGGATTCAGCGAATCCAGTAGGCTTTGCTGGAATGCTTCCTTTGCTATCATTCAAACTTGTATAGCTCAGGCCTTGGCTTTCTGCTGCCTGCCAAACCTTCAACATTTGGGAAAGTGGCTGGCTGTAATCAATGCCTGAACAACACTCAGATTCACCGTCAAATGGTTTCCACTTCTCAACTAGGGGTGCTAGCACATTCACCGCATGGCCCATGTCAGGCCGATGATATGGCTCCCTTGCAGTGCAGTGCCCAGCTAGCTCAGCTATGGTGGCAATGCTCTCATAAGTTTCCTCATTCACTTCAAGAGCTGGATCAATTGCAGCCATAAGCTTCTCCTTGCTTGATTTGATTCGCCAAAACCACTCTGCCAAGTAACGGCTTTCCTCCGAGCGCTCCTCATCAAGTGCTGTTAATCCAGTCACTAGTTCCATCAACACCACCCCATAGCTGAAGACATCAACTTTAGTAGTGATTTTCCCCATCACTGCAACCGACAGAACTTAATTTAATAAGATAGACAAACCCATCAAGGTGAGATTAAATAAAAAACTAAATTTAGAAAAGAAAAAGGTGGTGCCATCTTGAGGATTACATCCTATTTGGTAGTGAAGAAAAGTAGCATCTGGAAATTTGAAGTGCAATTCAACAGCATAGATCAGATAAGAATATAATAATAACTACAAACATAATAAGTATAAAAAATAATATGAAACTATGCTCCCGATAAATATATTAATGCAGCTTTTACGCTTACTTGAATGTCAAAAATTGTACTCATCTGTAATAACAGGGAGAAGAAATTCACTATGACCGGGTTTCCAGTTGTTGATAACTTTGCAAAACAGAAAAATATGAGCATTGTTCATTATTTTAAACAAATTAAAAAAAAATTCAAGATCTGAAACAGAGATGGGCATTTTCTGGCAAGAACAGGGAACAGAAAATAGTAGCAATGATAGCAGGAAGAAAGAAGATAAAAATGAAATTAACAACAGAGCATGTATTAGAAATAATCTATTTAAGTGTTCTAAGATGAACAAATATTACTGAAAATGGTTACAAAGTTGAAAGTCTTCTCTCCTTGGAAGACATTGAGCAAATAGATGCTGTAGCATGTCGACAATTTGGTGGGAAAATGAACTCAATGTTTCTTGTGGTATCTGCCGGTTAAGCAGAATCAAAGTAGACCAAACGCTATGCAACTAAAAAACTAAGTATAAATAAGACAATAATATGAAGCAACAATATGCTTAACAAGCAGCTCGATTTAAACAAAGAAGAAATATGAGCTCACTAAGATACTAAAAAGAAAATGACAGAATAAAAGATTCACAGGAGATGCGAAATTTGATTACTCACCAGCATATTCAGGTGCTAGGTATCCAAATGTTCCCGCAAGTCTAGTCACCACAGACTTCTCTCCATCAGGTGCAAGTTTCACCAACCCAAAATCTGAAACTTTTGCTCGAAAATTTTCATCTAGAAGAATGTTGGAAGACTTGAGATCTCTGTGTATAAAAGTTTGCCGTGCCAAATTATGCAGATATTCCATTCCTCTAGCAACATCCAATGCAATACTGAGCCTCCTTCTCCAAGATAGAGGTTCCAATTTCAGGCTCTTCCAATGGAACAGATGCTTGCTTAGAGCACCCTGAGACATATACTCATAGACAAGAAGCCTCTCATTACCTTCAATGGAATAACCCAAAAGAGAAACCAGATGTCGATGCCGGACCTTAGAAAGAACAGCAATTTCAGACTGAAATTCGTCCAATGCTTTACTGCTTATGACCCCAGCCTCCATCCTCTTAACTGCTACTTTTGTACCATCCTCCAGTTCACCCTTGTAAACAGTCCCAAACCCACCACGGCCAAGCTCATTTTCTTGGGCAAAATCCTTGGTTCCTTTTCGAAGTACTTGAACAGAAATGACCAAGTTTCCAGCCTCAATGACATGAGAGTTTTGTGTTGCACTGCTATTACTACTCCCAGAGCTTGTTGCAGTTTTACTAAATAAGCTTCCGGTGGTGTTATTGGAAACAGCTATCTTAACCATGTTTTCAGGATCTGATGGGTCTTTAGGATGAACCACTGTGGAACTAGGAGCCTCAGAAGCTCTTTTACTCTTCTTACAACAGAATATAGAAAACAGAACCACTAGAAGAACCATGCTAGCGATAGCTGCACTTCCAGCCACAATTACCATTTTGAATCTTTGGAAACCGTTGGATTGGGACTCTCCTTGTTTGGTAGTGGCAGCAGATGAATTAGAATTCTTATCTTTATTTGGAGACGTAGATCTGTGGGGTGGTGGCGGCTTTGTACCACCTGATTGATCATTTGCTGGAGCTTCTGAATTTGTAGGAGGTGGACGCCTAGTAGGGGAAGGAGGTCCACTTGTATGATTAGCAATCAACAGAGGA